GTTAATTCGTACGAAACGTGAACAAAAGTAGTCTCAGAAACTGATACAATAAAATCGCGACTGCACAGTAAGATTGTAGTACGAGAGAAAGGTGAAAAATCGGTGTGAAATATCGAAGTCAATAATCAAATACGAAAACGCTATGAATCGATGCGCGTCCAGCTTTCTGTTCCGACGATTCATGGACCGTGAAAGAAGCGAAGAGCGAATTCCAATTAACGAGCTGGGATACCATACTGTTAGAAATCTACACGGGTTACACGTTGTGCAACACATAATTAGATTTTATTCAACGATATCGCCTTCGTATATTCGTTTCAGTTATTCAAATAAGCAACGATAATGACGATTATGATAGAGTATCCGTATCCGTTACGTTCGATATGTCTTCATATACAGGGTGGGCCATGTGAAACAGGCCAACTAATTATCTTCGACAGCTACGGTGGTACGAGGAAATTTGTGTATGTAATTCGAATGGCTTCGAAGTGAAGAAGTGAATAAAATGGAAGAAAAATTTTTGTGATGGCAAAATGGCAAAAAATGAAAGGAAGTTTCATACTTCGTTTCAAATTTGGAGTCCAAAGTCATTTTAGGGTAATATTATTGTGACCTCACTTTGTACATTACACTTATTTTTAGCAAAATATTTCATTTTATCTCTGTAGAAAATAAATTTGCAATTTTTCAATAAAAATTTTTTCGGTGGAAGAAATGGCAAAATTGAAAGGAAGTTTCATATTTGATTTAAAAGGAGTCTAAAGCCATTTTAAGGATATATTATTGTGACCTCACTTTGTACACTACCCTCGTTTTAAACAAAATATTTCTTTCCATCTGTGTAATAAATAAATTCGTAATTTTTGAATAGAAATTTTTGTGATGGAAGAAATATGAAAGAAGTGAAAAGAAGTTTCATATTTGATTCAAAATTTAGAATCCACGGTCATCATAAGGTCATATTAGTATTAAATATTTTAAACAAAATATTTCTTTCCATCTCTGTAATAAATAAATTTGCAATTTTTGAATTAAAATTTTTTCGATGGAAGAAATATAAAAAAAAAAATGAAAGGAAGTTTCACATTTCATTTAAAATTTCAGAGTCCAAGGTCATTTTACCCTCGTCAAAAAACATATCCAAGTGACTTTAAGAAAAACAGAAAAAATGGCTTTTTTTCATCTTTGAAACCGTTTAAATTATATGTAAATATTTTTTCGCATCACTATAGCTAGAGAAGATAATTAGGTGGTCTGTTCCACGTGGCCCACCCTGTATATAAGAAGAAGAAGAAGAAGAAGAAGAAGAAGAAGAAGAAGAAGAAGAAGAAGAAGAAGAAAAGAGACTAGTCAAAGCATAAAACGAGCGACAGTTTGTCCAAGCAGAATATCTTCGAGATTAACTTCCGTCTTCGAAATGCCATCGAGAAATGAAGATTCTAAATGTCCAATGGAACGAGTTTGAAAACCTGTATACGTTGCTGGACAGTTAATTAGATCGCTGAACGGGATAGTCGAAGAATACGGTCCAGCAACTTAATAGAATTGATTCTATGGTTTATGCGTTATTAAGAAGCTGCACACGTTCTCTTCCTTTACTTTGTGCAAGAAAATTACGTCGCGACAGTGTACGCTAAAATAAAGCAGAAATTTATTGTGTCTCTGCGTATGAAACCTGTTGAATCTACCTTTGAATCATGTATATTTTTCAACTGGAACGTGTTTCGTTATGTTTACGACGTGCACTAATCATACACGGTGCACCGAGTAACTTTCATAAAAGAAATTGAATATTAGATCTATCGAAATATGATTTAGCACCGTGGTCTACTTACCACGGTGTAATGAAACAATTAAATCTCGTTGAAAGCAAATCTCGAATTATTCAATGGAGTAATTTTACTGCGTTTTTGTGGAAATTTTTGTCAATGTGAAAACTCGAATAATTCCACTGTGTTTTTGTGGAAATTTTTGTCAATATGAAAACTGGAATAATTCCATTGTGCTTTTGTGGAAATTTTTGTCAATGTGAAAACTGGAATAATTCCATTCTGGTTTTGTGGAAATCTTTGTCAATTTGAAAACTCGAATAATTCCACTGTGTTTTTGTGAAAATGTTTGTCAATGTGAAAACTGGAATAATTCCATTGTGCTTTTGTGAAAATGTTTGTCAGTGTGAAAACTCGAATAATTCCACTGTGTTTTTGTGGAAATTTTTGTCAATGTGAAAACTGGAATAATTCCATTCTGGTTTTGTGGAAATTTTTGTCAATGTGAAAACTCGAATAATTCCACTGTGTTTTTGTGGAAATTTTTGTCAATGTGAAAACTCGAATAAATCCATTCTGGTTTTGTGGAAATCTTTGTCAATTTGAAAACTGGAATAATTCCATTCTGGTTTTGTGGAAATCTTTGTCAATTTGAAAACTGGAATAATTCCACTGTGTTTTTGTGAAAATGTTTGTCAATTTGAAAACTCGAATAATTCCATTCTGGTTTTGTGGAAATTTTTGTCAATGTGAAAACTCGAATAATTCCACTGGGTTTTTGTGGAAATTTTTGTCAATGTGAAAACTCGAATAAATCCATTGTGCTTTTGTGAAAATGTTTGTCAGTGTGAAAACTCGAATAATTCCATTGTGGTTTTGTGGAAATCTTTGTCAATTTGAAAACTCGAATTATTCCACTGTGTTTTTGTGGAAATGTTTGTCACTGTGAAAACTCCAATTTTTCACTCGAATAATTCCACTGAGTTTGATAAAATTTATAGAAAATTTCTTCTTTATTTGGTCCATGATAAATTTACAATTCGTTTGCATAAACATTTGATAAATTATTTCACCGTTTTGACTTAATTACCATACTGGATACTGTATCATTAAACTATATTTGAATTTAGATTTATCTCTATCTATTAAAAAATTTAGAAAATTCATTTCAAAGGCATAAACGTCTTTCAGCTTCTTAATTTAACCCCTTGCCTTACGATTTCTTAATCCCAGCCTCGACTATTCCCTATTTTTATACAACGTTAAATAAAAAAAAGTCAAGATATCATACAGAATTTGTATGTAGTAATCGTGAATCCTAAACTGAACCCGAATTCGGAGCAAAAATACAAATTAAACAGAAACACAATTCTTCTTCAAGAATTGTAAGAAAGGCAAAAGGTTAAAAAACCAAATCGAGGACAACAATTTTCTCCGTTGTTCGATTGAGATATTGCAAACTTTTCACACAGAGCTCGACGATATCTCGTTGCTTTATATCCTGACAAGCAGCGAGTCAATGGTATCGCATGAATCGCGACAAACCGACTGTTAAAGCGCGCTTTGACTACACACACGTGCCGCGGTCATTCTTCGCGATGTGTCAGTGGCGAGGAAAGAAAAGCCAGAGCCGGTGTTTTATAGAAGCTTACCGACCATAAATTATAATCAACGACTGCACCAACACTCGAACAATCCGCCGGTTGAGTCATTAGAGCTTCGTCAGGGTAGACCGACCTCTATACACCCAGAAAGTCTCGTTGCGTGAACGCATGTTATTAACCCTTTCGCTGTTCGCTCAGATAAGGAAATGTAAAAATGTTCCCCTTTTTTTGCGACTTAATTTAGTCTCGTTTCGTTAGGTTTGCAATTATTTATTCAAGAAAGTGCACTAATTGTCGCACTGTGAATGCATCACGTGTAACACTTTAGACGGGTATAACGAACACGTGTTGTTAACCCTTTCGGTGTTCGCTCAGATAAGAAAATATAAAAATTTTCCCATTTTTTGTGACTTAATTTAGACTCGTTTTGTTAGGTTTGTAATTATTTACTCAAGAAAGTACACTAATTGTCGCACAGTGAATGCACCACTTGTAACACTTTAGGTAGGTATTAAAGAAAAAGAAGAAAATGCTGGAAGAAAAGCAAATGATATGCAAATGATAGCGTGAGATATGGATAAAGCGTGTTTACAAGGCAACGCGTGTTTCATATCTGTCAAGGTTTATTTCCAACAGATTTGTGGTAAAAATAAGGAAGAAATATATTTGGAGAAAATTCATCGCTGTGCTTCGTTCAGAAATTTTTTATACCTCTTTCGGTTTTTCCTCGACGTCTTTAACACGTTATTTAAGAAACGAACGATAAAAATGGTAAACAGAACTGAAGAATTAATGTTTAGATAATTATATGTCGCAATGTTAGTATAATTTTAGTCGCGTTCACTTTTGCTTTCGATTTCGCAATAACGATTTAATAATTAAGCGTTTCATTTTATAATTATGATAGTTGAGGTATAATCGGTATTTTTTGTTTCACACTTCTACGTATTTTCAATATGTTTGTAATAATAAGTCGGTCTCGAATGTGTGAAAATATTCTTTCATTTACATGTGTATGATAAAAATGGTAAACCGACGAGGTCCAAGATATGTATTGTAGAATTAATATTTAGATAATTAGGTGTCATAATGCTGGTATCAAAATGTTCTTTTTACTTTTGAATTCGAAATAGTGATTCCACAAGCAAGCGTTTCTTTTCATAATAGTTTTATTTTGAATACTGTTGACCACCAATAGAACTTTTCAATCAACCTAATCACACATAACAGCGACATTGACATGTCACGTGTTGCAACTAAATCACAACATCGTTACGTAAATGCAGATATTTCCCCGTTATTGATCCATAAACATTCTGTATAAATTAAAGTGTCTAATTATACATTCATATTTACACATATGAATCCTTAACCTTCTAGAGAACTGATTCCTATTAAAAAATCGGGATAAAAACTGTCGAAGCAGTCTGGAAAGGTAATTAAAGGACAATTAAGGTACATTTATTATACTTTCAATTAAATACCGCAATCATGTACAAACTTTGTTATTTTTCTTACCGTGGCAGACGTTTAACGAGGTGTTTTATTAATAATTCATAAATATCGCAAGAAACGATTACTGTTAGCTTCCTCATCGACCGATTATTTATCAAGAACGTTAACTCACCTTCCACTAGGGATGTTAAGAGCGTCACATTGGCGGCCTTCCTTCTTCCCGCTGGCAAGTTTAGTCCAATTTTCTCCAACTTTTCCCTAAGCAGACGTCCGCCGTTTTTGGACTTCGCTCTGGAAATGACAATTAGAATCGTTTTTCTTACAATTATAAAATTGAATGGACGAAAGAGAAGAAATCGACCGTTTAATTAAATTGTTTTGTCATTGTTTTGACATTACATCTATGAACTTCAGAGACAGAAATAAGAAGCACGATGTCTGTGATGAATTAGGCGTTGATATGCAGATGGATTCAACCGAAATAGAAGAAGAAATTCGAATCTTAATTGGGCAGTTTCAGCCGGAGTTGAAGAAAAAGGAAACATAGTACAAATTAGTTACAGGCTTGTTATTATAATAATACCAAAAGGTATAATCTTGTAACAAGTTAGAAAAACCATTGTGCAACAATTGTAACCCGACAATTGAAGTAGATCATTTGCTGCTCCATTGTTCAAAATGCAGAATTCATAGCAGCCATACCAAGATCAACGCACTGCTAAAAAAATAAATTCAACAGAGGCAAGATTGACAACCCAATCTCATTCGTAACCCCTTAACATATGACAACGCGTCAGACTCGTGGCAGAGATTCCGGCGAAGATGTGAGAAAGATAGTTGTATTAGTAAAAAAATTAATTGTAATCCTAATTTTCGTTGGAACTTTTCAGACTGGGGATTGCTGAATGTAATTAGTCTGTGACAGATTAGTTTTTGTTACCTGATACAGTACTGGAACAGAAAATGGCTGACGCTTAGACGCACAGTCGGAAAAGAAATCATAGGTTAAGGGGTTAAAGTAAACCAAATTACTGACGAAAATAGTATAATAGTCGACAGTCGCTGATAACTATACTGCAGAGTTGTATGCATTTATAGGAAATTTAAAGGTACAAAATTACACAAAAAACATGTAATACGTAAAACTATACAAAATCTCTAAATTATAGTGTTTTTTACAATATCTGGTAGGTGAAAGAATTTTCTACCGAAGTTCTACTTTTTTTACTCGACTCGATTTGATGTGACTCAAATTTCTTATTTAAAAAAAAAGTTTATAGAACAATTTGTATAGTGTAAAAGCAGGTTAACACAGCTGTACTACAACAAAGTGATTTCTACAGCAGAATAAATATATCAACGAGCACTTTGTAACAATTATACAACTTCACAACATCGGTTGCACAATCAAGTTGCATTCATACATCTCCACGTGTCGATTCATTGAAACGAAACTTCATCTTTTCGCTCATCTCTTTGTTCCGAGCGTTTACGTACACCGAAGTGTGTACTCGAAACGCGCGCGTTCAACCGAGGCTCTCGTTTCAGAGCGTAGAAATTTCGAAACGGAATTGCCCCATTAATCATTTTTGCCGTGATCCTTGAAGGAAGGAAAAAAGAAATCGACAAGCAACCGGGAAGAAAGTGGGATGGAGAGAGAGGGGAAGGTGTGTAACGAGAGAGAAGCGAGGAAATTTGCATAATCCGTAGCTACGCGTGTCATCCATACGACTATTGAGTAACTCGACTTCGTGGATAAGTCGATTGCGGAGCGAGATACTTTCGAAGGTGTACCAATGTGTTTTTGTGTCGCGAAAATCCAACTGATACACGTATCGTCTTATATTTGATATTTAAAAATCGCGAATGTAAATTTTGAAATTGTTTTTTTTTTTTTATAATACACAGCTTGAACGAAGTGTGACTTTAATGAGAAAATTTATAATTAATCTCTCAAAGTCTTCATTTTTGACATTCTAATTTTTGAAAGAATCGAACGTGTTTCTCTATCGTGAAAATCCAACTGTTACTTTGATATAAAAAAATATTGAGTAACTCGTGAATGCAAATTCTGAAATTGTTCTTCTTGCAATATACACTTTGAATGAGATGTGATTTTGATGAGAATATTTATAATTGATTCCTAAGTTCCTTCATTTCTAAGATTCTAATTTTTGAAGAAGTCGAACGCGTTTCTGTGTCGCGAAAATCCAACTGTTACTTTGATATCAAAAAGTAGGTACTAAGTTTCTCCTGAATGTAAATTCTGAAATTATTTTTTTCGATGATATATCTACAATTCGAACGAGAGGTGATTCTAGTGAGAAAATTTACTTTAATACGTGTCACTGTAATTAATTCCTTCATTTCTGACATTTCAAATCTTCAAGGGATTCAACGCGTTTCTATGTCGCGAAAATCCAGCTGAATGCAAATTTGAAAATTGTTTCCCTTACAATATACAGTTTGTACGAGAATTGATTTTAATAGGAAAATTTACTTTAGTACACGTCACTCCAATTCATTTCTGACACTCTCATCCTTAAACAATTACCTATTTTTAATATACTACAAGCACTCCTTGAAATCCATTTAAAAACTTGTCTAACACCATTCGTATGCACGCGTTTGAAAAATTTCCAGCATAAAGGGGCAATCTTTCGAAACACAGAAAAGAACACACCAATCATAAATTCCCTCAAGTCATTCAACTTCTCCAATCCCACATTGTACACCGTACTCAACACGTGTGTGTGCGTGTATACACGATCATAAAATGATTCGAACATTTTCTCTCCTACTACCTTTATGCAAACCTATAAAATAATACTTGACACCGAACCTATGAATAACGATATCCAAACAAAAAAAGAACAAACATTTTGCCAGGTAAAGTAAAGTGGTCGAACAACATGCGAAGAAAAAAAGAAAAAAAAAAACGAATATGTATTCCTGCTTGAGGAGCAACCTACTTAAAACCGTTCACAGGTCTCTCTGTCCGAGTATATTTCGCGGAACATCGTCAAGAATTCGATAGTACTTCTTAACACACACCCTATTCATCCATCATCCATGGACCGACATAACGGTAATACGTATACACATCGGCTACCTTTGTTCAGTTCGAGCAGCCGGTCCGTCCGGTAATCTTTCGCTTCGCTCGGCAATTAATACACTTTACCGCTACGACTTTTTAATATATCTGCCGAAAGGATCTACGCCCCGAAACCAATATACAGTATATATACAGTCAAGGACAGAAATATGTGGACACCCTTCGAAGTGGAATAGCTTTCTTTTCGAAATTAGATCAAACAGCTTGAGCTTTTTGAATAGGATTGAAGAATTTGGTTTGCTATATGACAAAAAGATTTGGAAAAAACTGCAATTAGTCGGAATCGCGGAGAAAATAGCGAAGGTCGCCTTTTACAACTTTTTTATCTGAGCTCGTAGCGATTAAGAGATTAAGGGAAAGCAACACTGAAGAGAGAAGGAGGATAGAAAATGCAGAATCTGTAAAGAAGAACGCTGACGCTTTTATACAGAGAAGTGCGAGGCCACAAGAAGAGAAATAGGAATTGAGGAACTGCTAAGTGAAGGAATAGAAGAAACGAAAACAAGAGAAAGAAAAATGAGAAAAGAAATGGAGAAGGACTAGAACCAAAGAAAGGTGCAATAGCGATGTTAAAATGTAGTAAGGATAGGGGAGAAGATAAATAAATAGTTACAAGATCGTATTTTAGAAATCAATATAGGATAGTAAAAATAAAGAAATAAGGATAATTAGTATAATATAATAGAAGTTAAGACTAGTAAGGTAAGATAGTAGATAAGAAAAGATGTAGCTGGAAGTCATCCTAAGCCGAAAGGCAAAGATCATAATAAATAAAAAAAAGAAAAAATACGTTATACTTTTATAGATAAATATATTTCTTTTAATTATAAAAATATAATAGTATGTTTCTTTTCATTTTCATAACCTAACCGCCTTTTCTGGATCAGTTCTTTGTTTCGTATAACACGGATTCAAATAACGCGCCATTTTTTAGGGATCTAACTAGCGTGTTATAGGGGGGTTACCTGTACATATTAATATGTTATACTTTTGGTGAAAATTGCTTCGATAAAGATATTTCTCTTAATTATAAAAATATAATAGTATGTTTCTTTTCATTTTCATAACCTAACCGCCTTTTCTGGACCAGTTCTTTGTTTCGTATAACACGGATTCAAATAACGCGCCATTTTTTAGGGATCTAACTAGCGTGTTATACGGGGGTTACCTGTACATATTAATATGTTATACTTTTGGTGAAAATTGCTTCGATAAAGATATTTCTTTTAATTATAAAAATATAATAGTACGTTTCTTTTCATTTTTATAACCTCTTTTGTACCAGTTCTTTGTTTCGTATAACACGGATTCGAATAACGCGCCATTTTTTAGGAACCTTACTACCCGTGCCACGTTTCACTATGCTTCCTCGTAACGCTATCAACGTGAACGTGTCAGATGTTACCATTTTATTTATACAAGCGGTGCAATCCTCGGATACATCGGCTTCGGAGCTTGATTTAGAAGTGTGTACCCCTTTGATACAACCAGAGGAATTCCTCCGGTAATTTCTGAACGTTTATAGTTCGGGGATCAGATAACGTTTTACTGGCGAACGATAAACCTGTTGTGCTGGTTCACCGTGGACACGAACCAAACGTTTCTCTTTGTACCTTTTGACGTTTCATTGTACGGTCACTTGAACGTGGCAGTTTCGATTGAATTTAAGAGGGGAATTCCAGATTTTCTGTTTCGCACTTTTAGGTTATGTACCGCGTTTTCTCTCATATTCGTTTATTTCGGATTATCGTGGAGGAAATTTACGCGTTCTTCGAGAGATTCGATGGGGTACCTGTAGTGTTTCTTCTTGTTACGTATAGTTGAACGTAGAAATTGTGTATTGGAGTTGGCCGATTTTATACGGTTTATGGAGAAATTTTTTCACTAGCTGATTGAGTGAAAATAAATTGTAAATCATTTCCAGAACTTTTTCAAAGTATTCGAATATATTTCTCGTGCATAAGTCACGAAAGACCTACTTATTTCAGCTTTACGTTTAAATTAACGCTGTTAAACACCCGCGTTATTAAGTCAAACGATTATTTACAAATTACTTTCACCGAATATAGTTTCTCAATGTTAAAGTATATTGAAAATTGTACATAGAAAGTTCTCAATTTTTTCATCAATGTACGCTCCCCGTTTCGCGATCACAACTGGAAATAATTTCTTTAAG